AGAGAGATGCATTTGTGGGCGAACTGTAACCATCAAAGCAGCTTATCCTTATTTTACTTCTCATAAGTTTGCGAAGTTAAGACCTAGGGTTCTATAGCGCATTATTGTATGCTGTCTTGTAAACACATAGGGTTATGTGGCACATTATTGTATGCGGTCATGTAAACCCTTCGGGTCATGTGAATATAGGTAAGCAACTTTGTGTAGTGTAACTAAGTCACAATAAAGCTTTCTTAGTAAAGGTGACATGAATAGAGTTTTGGAACTCTATAAGATAGAGAATTCTAAGCATAGCGCTTTTATGTAGCCTAGTTGAGAATAGAAAGAAATTTCCAATATCCTAGGAACAGTGGGAGCGATGTGCCTACTAATGGATTACTCCATTAGAGAAGAATACTTTACATTCTTAGTTGCGGTAGCAAATGTGAAAATTTTCCACGTCATCACTGGGTGATTAAGAAGGAAACATTCATGATTGCTCCGCAAGATGATAAAGAGCCTAGGAATATGCCAAAGGCCCTAGTCCCCTGTTTTTAGAAAGTGGATCAATATTACGCAGTTTAAGACAAAGTCTTTGAGGATTAACCATTTCTATAATTTGGTTGACTTTCCATTATGACGCGAAACTGTTCTAAAGTTATGCGTAATTTGGATAGTTAATGTTGAGGCATAAGGCTCGCTAGATACCGAAAAGTCGCGCCATTAAGGAAAGTGTAGACCATGAGAAGACTTCCTCTTGGAGAGTGTGGTTATTTTGATTTAGGCTATGATTGACATATAGTTCGGAACATTGATTTGTGGACATTGTGAACCAACTTTCTCGTTAGAGAATTGGATAAGTAGATCCATAGAGATTTACTTTCTGCTTTTATGGTGAAAAGTTAGGAGTGCAAAAAAGTTGCTAGTTCTAATAAATCTTTTACAGCCTAAAACAATTATCCAAATAGTGGTTCTTAGATTTCGTCAAGCCATGATAGGCCAACGATGACCAATGAAGACCACTAAGGCATGATCAATGGTCCAAAGAAGTTTTTCCTTACTTAGTCATTATGAGCCAGGAATTTATAGGGTTATCGCCGCCTAGGGTGGGCAGTCCTCTGTTTTAGATATGATGAACATGGGTGATGTAATTTATATACTCGGATGTACGATCCTTAGGGATTGTTTGGGAGAATTCCTGTTTGCCTTCGATGACTTACATGAGGAATATCCTAGAACGATTTAGATACAAAATTGCAACCCATTGACTTACCTACGGTAAAGCTAGAGCCTTAGCTATTGAGTGAATCCTCAGATTGTCTTTGGAAGAAATAGATGACCTATATTCATTGATCTTTTCTTTGTTGTGGGAGCCTAAAGTACGCTATGTGGGCGTATTCGGCATGATAAGTGTTATCTTTGGTAAATGGTCAATTGATTTGTTTAAACATTGACTTTGCTCATTAGACTATGGATAGAATGCTTACTAGTAGTTTATTAATTTGCTCCTTGTAAGATTTTTTTTTAAATTTATTTTTGACAATGGGATCATACACATTGTAATAAGCAAACATAATAACCATATTGATACAATACCAATCATAGATAAATTTAATAACCATATTAGTGTAATGTTCATAACAACTTACAAACCATAATAATAACATCTCAATTCTTCCACAAACCATAAAAAAAACATCTTCCACAATCTATTATACGCATAAATAATATTTCAATTGTTTCCGAGAGATTCCCAAATTTGACCAGCAATTTGATTCCTTACATCAGACATGTGACGTAATTGAGGTTGACTAATGTCTAAGTCAATTGGTTGCTGAGAACTACTTCCTGCATGTGTCGAGCTGCTACTATCACCTCCACTAGGCCCATTATCTTCAACGATACGATCTGGATTGGCCCATTCAGCGAACAATGTGTCACTTTGAGAATGTATTCTTATCCAGTTGTGTATTGTACAACATGCAATGTGGATGTATCTCTGCGTCTTAGTTGAATACGGAGGCATGTCTCTCAAAATTGGAAAACGAGCCTTCAAGACACCGAAGCATCTCTCAATCACATTGCGCAGTGAGGAGTGTCGGTAATTGAACATTTGCTTCTTGTTTCTTGGTTGTCGACGTTGATTACGAAACTCATTTAGATGGTACCTCTCACCACGGTATGGCGATAAAAAGCCAGGCATATTTGTATAACCCGAGTCGACAACATAGTATTTATCTGTTCAACATGTATGTATCTATTATTATGGGTTGACAAAAGAATATTCATTATAAATTAACAAAATGCCATATAATACGTACCTGTTGGTGGCATTGGAAATAAATTTGTTGGATCATGTACGGTTTCAATGAACACTCTTGAATCATTTGCAGTGCCCTCCCAACCGGCCAATACATACGTAAATCGCATATCAAATGAGCAAACACACATTACATTTTGCGTTGTAACTGTATGCTTACCCCGATATGGTATTTGCTCTGATGCTGGCACCCTTGCAGATATGTGGGTACCATCAATTGCTCCAACACAATCCTATTTGACAAATGACTTTAATAATGCAGGATATTTTACTAAAATTTATATTTCAAATATTCTGTTAGTGATTACCTTAAAAAAAGGATAGAAGCGTGGATTATGTCGAATTTCTGCAGGCACCTCATCAAAATCTGGAGGCCTTATAACTTGTTTACCAAGCCTACACACTGCCTTCAAGACTCGGTTGAAGTATTTGGAGATGGTTTGGCCAGAATGTTGGAATCGCTCTTGGACAACACGATTTCGTTCGTTGTGACCAATTGTTAGCAAAAATATACAAACTTGCTCTTGGACAGTCAGATAACGTGAGTGTTCCAGTTTACCATATACCTTAAGTGCCTCGCACAAATTAATAAATACATCTGGTTCCATTCTGAAATTTTCCTTGGACCTTCTTTCATGGCCATTCAATATTTCTAATACGTAGTCATGTCCTTGTAATATGGACGTTCGGCATGGTCTAGGTTGAAGGTAAGTATTACAATACTCATGTAGTGCTACACACACCAGAAATTGTATATTTTCATCGTCACTGTCTGAGTCAAAACTCAAATCAAGAGCATGCATCGGCTCCATATATATCACTGTGATATAGTGCTGACCCCTTAAAAACAAAAGTATTAGTGATAATGAAAATACATGAAATAATGGTCACACAATAATTTTTTCTTTCATTGAATTTTTTTCAGTTTGGTAACCATTTTGTTTGGTCCAATTCAAATGTTGGCTCCATATATTTTAATTTCATATCACTTTAAAATAATTAAAATAACCCACATCTAGTGATGTCCAATTCAAATGTTGGCTCCAATTTATTATTACAACAAAAAATGATAAAAAAATAAATCAAGATCAAGATCAAGATCAATTTACATTATAATCAAACATATGATATACACCTTTTAAAAAATGTCTCATAGAATTGGCGATCATGCGTATGGTAAGATTATTTTAAATCATAACAAAACAAATAGTGGAGACTTTTAAAGCCAAAGTTTCTAGTCTCTTTCTTTATTGTATGACTGTACCACATTTTCTTTATTTATGCTGTAGACCGAAATAAAGAGAAACATTAAATTTAGTCATCCCCATGCACACATACTCCATATAGTCATCGTTTTTGCAAATTTTTTTTCAATCTATGAAGTGGGTATCTCATCTCTATGTTAATTGGGTGAGCCATCTAATACTACGCTGTTATTTATAGTATTCTTTGTTTGGCTGTGAAGGCAACATTTATCATGTTCACAAAACTACTGGGTACTCTATCAAAGACCCTCAGTAACCATAGTATGGAGAAATCTATTGTCAAGATCATTTGGACTCGTAGCAGAAGCATAAGTTATCTTCACTTCCAGCAGCTACAAACAGGAGAGAACTACAAACAAGCCTTTGTAATACTAGCCAATGTTTGATTTCTATTAAATGAAATATCAAATTCACCCGTTAGAAGCTCCAAAATTTCGGCAAAGGAACTCAAATCAATGCCCTTTCATTGGGACATTTTATCAAACAGGTAATTTGCACACACACATACACACACACACACACAAAAGGTTCATCAAACCTCCCTATTTAGGCCTCATAGTCAGAGAGACTTGGCTTATTCACAAGTTGAGTACCAAATTGTTCCAAATTAAAATAATCCACATCTAGTGATGTTTCATATGACTTCAAAATAATTCATGCCAGAAACCCACATGCAGTGATGTTTCATATGACTTCAAAATTTAGTGAATGTTAGACACATTGACTAGAACAGAACAGTATCAATAATCTAGACACATTGACACATTTCATCGAATAGGTAATGGAAAAAACAATGTTGACAATACAATGACATAAGAATTTTATATAGAAGAAGATCATACATACCTTGCAATGCAGTGTTGAGAATGCAGTGATACAATGTTGACAATGCTTCCTATGCAATGTTGACAATGCAGTAAAAAGAGCATACTACTAACAAACATTATATAAGAGAAAGAGCATTCAATACTTTAACCAACCATAAACTACCATAATAAAAATAGCCTGCATACCAGTACAATATTGTATCAATAATGGAAAGCTTGCATACCATTTACTCAATTTGATATCTACTCATCTACCCATCTACCCATCTCTTTGCAGTACAATATTAAAAACACCAGTAGAATACACCTAACTCTGTTTCCATAATAAATTATTCTGAAAAAAATAAAATAAAAACTACAATACAACAGTTATCCAACAATACAAGCTTGTTCATAGAATACACTAAGTCTGTTACAGCACAAAAGATTATCCAACAATACAACAGTTACAGTACCAAATATAAACTTCCATAATAAGTCTGTTTCCATAATAAACTACCAAATAAATTAAACAACACAAACACATTCCACACTAAATCTGCATTCTCTCAAAGATTAAGGACCCAATCCCTCATCCTACTAGCAGGCATATCAACAAATACCTCCCTCATTATGGGCCTCCCTTATTATGGGATCCGATGTAAGCTTGTTCACAGCTTTAGTGTAAACAGCAGCATGAATTTCCTCCATACCATGCAATAGTGCCATGCACTCTTTCAGTAATGAACGTGATGGAGTAGAGCCACCTTCAATTGAACCACTGTCATCGCCAACATTAGTAACTGAAGCACTTGTGAAACGCTTTTCCATTAGGTCCACCTTCCTCTTGCTATTTTCACTCATTTCTTTGAGTGCTTCAGAAATATTAGCTTGAAAGGAGCTCCTCTTCTTACTCTTTTTACCTCCCATTTTTCTCTTGCCTTTGCCCTTGCCCTTGCCCTTGCCCTTGCCTTGGCCATCTCCATTTTCATTATCACTATCAATTTGCAATGCATCTAACTCCTCATTCTTTACCTTAAATTCAGGATCAGAACTGGCACTACTTTCAGAAGGTGATTTGGTGGAAGGAAAAGCTAGTTTACCAGTTGCGGATGTGTCTCCTAAGATACGAGACAACTCATGGTAGTAAACCATCCCTTTTTTCCTAAACCTCTTTGCATGGGTATTAACCTACAAATCAATGAATTTGAAGTTAACATGAAGAATTCTCTAATTAAATGTAGTAAAGAAAATGCAAAAAGTTAATTAAACCTTGTAAAGGGCTTCCCAAACGTCATCCGGTGCAGTGATAGTAAGTCGCTGGCTATCCCAACCAACACCAGTATGCTTCAGTAATGATGTAAATTTGTTGAACATAATACGCAGCTGATTGTATTTGTTCCGAAGCTGGTCTGTGTTATACTTGTATTGGGTTTTCACGTTCATTTGATCTCTCAACCTATTCCAAGCTTGTTTCGTGAATGTTCCAGTTATTTTACTCTTCTTGGTTTTCACCTCCTCATCCATGAGGGTAACGAAAAGAGCCTCATTTGCCTGAGGCCATGGACTACTGTTTTCTCTACCAACTTCAACAACATCATCATCATCAATGGGGAGATCATAATGTATTGTTGATGCCATTACCTAAATATTTATATTTATTCATAGATAAACAAATTTCAAAAAAATATGAGTCAAATAAAATGAAGACACATTGAAGAATAAACAGCAGTTTAAACAAATTTCAAAAAAATATAAGTCAAATAAAATGAAGAGACATTGAAGAATAAATAGCAGTTTAAATATCCTGTGGGTTGGTATAGCAGATTTCGAAGATTTCTAGCAAATAAGTCAAATAAATGAAAATATGAGTTTACTAGCATAGAAGTCAAAAAATAGCATTCTCTTAAAATCAAATAAATGTATAGATTACTAGATTAGTAGCATTCTGTTAAAAGTTTGACTTAAGTGAAAAAATAGCACTTAAGTCAAACAATAGCACTTACTAGCATTTGTGAAAACTATTTTTGAACCTGCCAATCACAATTTCCATCCGAAATTCAGAATATGTTCATGGAAATTCCATGTAGTACTAATGTGCAGAAACTTAAACAGAATTTTGACCAACATAAATGCATCCAACTCTCAAGCTAGATGAACACCAATAATGATTCTTCGAGGTTCTACTATAAGGCAAGGAAATAGAACACAAAAAAACCATATACTCAGTTTGAAGATGCCTGGAAGGAAAATAGTGTTTAAAGAGAAAGGTGTCAAGAATTTATGGTGACCTATAAGATTATATTTACTTAGAAATGAATTATGGATCTGTTTTCTTCAATCACAAAAATTTCTGACAACTTTGTTGGTAAAAAGTTCAAGAAAGTGTCCAGTTTGAGGAAAACAATTTCATTTAACTATCCATCTAAGAAACCTGTTTGTCCCAGGTAAGTAAAAATCGAAACATCCATTTTTAGTTTTAACGTAGTTGGTCCCAAGGAAGAAAAGTTTTGAGCATCCCATTTGGAGAAAAAGTTAATTTATGAACTCAATGGAGTCAACTCAACTCAACATCTCTCTCTCTAACTCTCTTCTTGGTCGGTTATGGCAAGGAGAAAGCTGATGAAATGTTCTTCCAGTGTGTACAAGGCTCACATATGCTATATTGAGTGGGCCACTAAGGGTGGCAAATTGGTAATTACGGCAAACTTTGCAATTAACTCGTTTTAATCTAATTTAATCATACCTAATCAGTTTTCAGATAAATATACCATAAAATCATATTAATTATGAGGGTCATAAAACACTAACCAATTCCCGATTCGGCCGCCGATAAGGCCTTCAATTAGCAGTTTAAACACATAAGCATGAACAGATAATCATACAGTCAAACAGATAGAATGCAATTTAACTAACATACACTCAATCAATTCGGTTTCCAATGTCAGTCAGTCGGTTCAGTACTTTTAATCAGTCCAATTATCAGTCATAATCAATTCAGTTTAACAGTAATCAGTCAGTCATTAGTCGATAAACAGTGTTTAGTCGGTAAAGGATTCCTACAAGGCTTTTTGAAGTTTGCAAACAAGCTAATAAATGCACTAGTTTCTGCTTTGAAACCAAGACTAACAGTAATTATCTCCATTATATTTAGGATTGATTTGCAACCTTCAAGCCAAAGAAAAAAGTGATTCAGAAGGCACATGCCAACTAATTGCTACAGCATTCTTAATATCAAATGTTACTTTGGCTGACTCAAATACCGAAGAGTGGCCTAAGAAAGTTAATATCAAATATATGCATTTCAACTGTCGGCTTTTCTGGGTGATGTTGAGCCTGTGATTGTATTTTGCTTGTTCTTTCTTTTGTAATTCTTCTTAATTGACTTATTATCATATATTGCATTGCTCTTCGAACACTCATTTTATCACCCCTCCCCCCATTCCCTATCATCAGTTGGATAATTTGTGAATTATCATGAACAAAGTTAATTTTGTTTTTGACTATTTTGTAGACATGAATGTGTGCTACCTTACTTGTTTTCTTTCTTTCAAATATTTTCCTCTTTTCTGATTGTTTTTCTAGTTGTTAGATTTTTCTTCTGTTTCTGAAGATTGCATCTGAAGATGGAAGGGGTACGTATACTCAATTTGTTCTAGTTGTTTGACATTCTATGAATTTCTGTTGGACTTATTCTTGAGTTGGTTGTTGAACTTGGCAGTACGACCTTTTTGATGAATCTCTACAGGGAAGTGAAGCCATTGTTTTGATGGCCATTGACAGGTTGACCAACAAAAAAATGGCATTGAAGAAGATCTTTTTGCCTGATGATGAGATACAAAACCCAGTTCAGTTTCAAGCAAAACCCAATTATTTCACTTAGATTTCCCCAAAACCCAATTCAATTTCAAGCAAAACCCATCAATAAATCACATATCAAATATGAAAAATGTCACTTTTTATGCTCAACTCTCATTGTAACAGACAGAATGTTAACTCTCATTGTAACAATAAATATATTTTCAGTTCTGATGCTCAAGTCTTGACAACAATCTGATTTCATGTCTATGGCACAGGTTAATCAGGGCTCCTTCCAAGGTCCTACAGATTAGGTTTTCCCAAAGCAGAACAGATTTCTAGCTCAGAAAAAAAAAAGAAAGATTTGTAGCACAGATCTACAACCAACAAAAAAAAAGAGATTTCTGCAGAACAGATTTCTGGTTCGGGAAAAAAATTACAGAACAAATTATAGTACAGATCTACGAAATGTAGCACAGATCTACAACCAACCATGAAAGAGAAACTGACCTGAGAGTGAGATCGATGTGGTTCGAAGATTTTGAAAAAGATCTGCAAAATAAATTTGTCGTTTCAGAAAAAAAAAAAAAAACCACCATGGTAGCTCTACAAAAATCTGAGATCATTTTGTTGCCATCGAAGCTGCCATCAAATCGATTTCATGACAGATCTATTAACCTACAAACCATAGCAAGAGAGAGAGAAGAAACATACCTAAGATCAATTTGTTGACAGATCTACAAAGATCTGCATGTTTGCAACATAATGTTTTAGAAAAGAAAACAAAAATCGAAGAGAAGAGAGGGGAGACAGAGAGAGAAGAGAGGGAAATCGAAGCTGCCATCGAAGAGAGAGAGAAGAAAGAGACCTAAGTGCACATGAAATCGATCTGTCAACAAACAAACATACCCTTTGTCTCGTCATTAATCGATTTCATGACAGATCTATTAACCTACAAACCATAGCAAGAGAGAGAGAAGAAACAGACCTGAGATCAATTTGTTGATAGATCTACAAAGATCTGCATGTTTGCAACATAATGTTTTAGAAAAGAAAACAAAAATCGAAGCTCGGTGAACACAGAGAGCAAGGTCGGTGAACACAGAGAAGAGAGGGGAGACAGAAAGAGAAGAAAGAGAGAAGAGAGGGGAGAGAGACAAACCTGATCTGTGAAGTTCAAGTGAACATAAATGAGATGGAAGAAGATGAGATATTACCGTTGGACAAAATAAATGAATGAGGTGGAGGAAGATGAGATATTAACGTTGGTGCTGCGGAGATTTGAACCAGGATCAAGATGCCAACAATTAAGTTACTGTAGCTCCGCTACAGTAACTTCCGCTACAGTGCCAGTTTATTAAATCAGCCAAAACAGGTTTTTTCTGTTTCCGTTTTTTGGGTAAGATTTATAAACTGGGAAGCCGAATTATAAATCAATTTTTTTACCAAACGAGTTTTTATCACGATTTTTTAAATTTTTGTAAATATAAACTGTAAACTGAAAATAAAATGGTTACCAAACATACCCTAAATAAGTAAACTTTTTGACTTTTTATGAAATATGGATTGAGTTTAAAATGATGTGGTAAAGAGGTGATATGTCTTAAATAAGATGATATGAATTAAATAAGATAGTGTCTTTTTAACTTTTTTAAGAGACGCAGCCTAAATTATACTTTGCGTGTGTTTGGGAAGGCCTCTTCAGGCTATATGAGCCACATGCGACAAAAGAGCCTCATTTAGCCACATGACGCCAAAAATGCTTGTTAGGGTTTGAGAGGAATCCTTTTACGGGTAAATTGACCAAATTACCCTCACATCTCCTTCTGATTCATTTCGAAAAAACGCCTCACCACACACACACAACAGAACCGTCCTAGGGCACGGAAGAAGTGAACGAGGCGATCTCTTCCAACCAGCGGCGACGCCTTCAAAATACAGCTTCGCAGAGGCAATCGGCACCGGAGTACGCATCTGGCGGCGGAGAACAAGAACGAACCCTTTGTGATACACCACCGATTAACTGGTAACTCTTCCAAACCCTTCTGATTTCGTAGATCTGTGTGAGTGTGTGTTGCCTCTGCTTAGGGTTCATGTCTACAATCCCTTTCTCTGCATACAAGGTTATGATTTGAAAAAATTTGTATGGATATTTGGGGACTCTTTGTTTTAAAAAATTTCCAAATTTTTTGAGTTCAGGCTGGGTTCATTACAATTTGGGTTCATTACCGACCTGTTGAAGTGCATTTTGTTTTGCTTGGGTTCACACATTTTGGGCACAGATATATGTATATATATATACATATATCTGTTCTTATATATAAATTTATATTTCTGTGAGTAATGAGGGCCGGTATACATTCATAGGTGGCTGAGATCCGTTAAACATGAAAGTTCTTCCTCTCTGATTTTTGGTTTTGCAGTGATCATTAAATGTATGGAAAATTTTAGCTAAAAATTTAGAATGTTAGGAATTCATTAGGTGAATGAAATATTTAAACATTGCTCCACTGCTAACTCCTAACCCATTTTCCAAATCAATCCTCAACATAACTCTGTAAAGAAGGCCGTGTTATGGTTAATGCATATCTGATTCTGCTAAAAGACTCTGATGAAACACTTTGATTATTGTCAATGCATTTCGAATGTTACGAATTCAGTACCTGAATGAATTCTTATTTATCAAATTCATGTATACATAAATTCCACAGCTAGTCTCTACCCAGTTGCTGTTCGTATTGTGAATGACCACTGCGAATGCATGTCTGATTCTGTGAAATACCTATTGACTTGTCATGAAATCACGAGTTTATGTTACGGAATTTTATTACCAAACAAGTATGTCCATTTTTCATGTGCATGTCAATTCTGTTATACTTTCATCTCCAATATGTTTAAAATTAAGTTCAATCTTGCATGTTATATATATTTTTTCAGTATTGTCAAACACTTGAGTCAAACAACTGACAATAACAAAACATATTTTACTAGTATAGTAATAATAATGTGCATAATTATAATAAAATGCCATGGTTACAACATAACTCTGTGCAAGTGCATATGGGTCGGTAACTACTCTTACCAATATACTACTGATTGAAGATGCACAATACCCTTATCATAATTCAATGTCCATGATCGGAATCAAAAATTAAATACCGTTTCTCTTTGTACGTTTTGTTATTGATTCATGTAAATTAATAAAAAATGCCGATTGTTGTCATGGCGTAGCATGGCTTCGTTTACCTCTACTGCAACTTCCAGTACATGGCCACGAATGTGTGCCTATAGACATGGCCCCTGTGTTGTTAAGATTTCCAGGTCCACCAAAAACCCAGGGCGTGCCTACTTTGCATGTCCCCGCCCTTTGGTGAGTGACCTATTCTTTTAGGTCATAAATGCCCTTCTTTAACAACCCATGAAACTAATAGTTCCATAATTTGCACTCATCAGCCCTGTGTCAGTTGGATTGGTTGGTGTGATGAACCTAGGCGAGATAACCAAGACTATGCGTCACCTAGGGATGAATTTGTCATGCAATTGCGGGCTGATGTCATAGACATTCAACAATCCTTACATGTCCTTAAGACCATCGTGTATGTGCTATGCATTGTCGTTGTCGTTTTGTTGTTCCGTATGTAAGCAACGTTACGATGTTTCAGTATGTACAAACACGTTACTATGTTGGTTGTTTATTGGTAGTATGTACAATAGTATGACTTTAAGCTGCCACAGGCTTCTTCCACTTTGAAATGGTAGACGTATTAATGACTATCATAACTATGTGCACTACTAACTTCCATGGAACCTGTGGCAGTATAAAATTAATGTGCAATGGTTATATGCTGGGTAATTTAGCATCCTATCTCTCTGTTTCTTTGTTATTAATGTGTAATGGCTTACGTCTTTGTATATAACAATCGTATGTGTGATGGTAATCTCTTGTAACCGTATATTAGTAATGGCTTCCATACGTACTTCTCCGCGTACCCAATCTAAAAGCAAAGGCATTGCCACTGACAAGTCAAGCAGTCTTGAAGATACACATAATCATTTAAGCCACAAGGCCACATGGGACAGTGCCTTAATCCGAGTTTTCCTGCAGTTGATTGCAAATGAGATAACTAAAGGCAATCGCCCATTCCTAGTCCTCAGCTAAGCAGGGTACAAGTCCTTGGCACGAAAATTTGAGAGAAAAACAGGAAGAAAACATGGACTCAAACAGTTGAAGAATAAGTACATGCGTTTGAAAAAAGACTGGCAAGCGTGGACAAAGTTGATGGATTCAAGCAAAGGAGTGTCAGGGATAGGGTTTGACTGTGACACCGGTATGTTTCAGGCACCTGAGGAGTGGTGGGACAAGATGGAATCGGTAAGTACATGTACTCTTATGTTTCATCTGTGTCATTTACCAGTACATTTTTTGTTTTTGTAGTTAAATTTTAATTAATTATATGAAATGTAACGTCATTCTCTTTCATATATCGCTATTTCAACAGATAAACAAGGAGTGTACCAAGTTTAGAAAAAAAACCTTAGAACATCGTGAGTTGATGGAGACCGTCATCATGGGGGCATCAGCTACTGGTAAGCACCATTGGACCCCGAGCGAGAAACTTCCTGAAGTTGCTGATGACTCATCTGATTCAGTGCACAGTTTGGGAGTCCAGCCATTTGTTGTTCGATACTTACAGGAGTGCAGGACGTGGATTCAGATTTTTCACTGGAGCATGTTCCGATTGAAAAGGGAAAAAAGAGAAAGACGCCATCAAGTAGTGTTTCAAAGTCCAAGAAGACAACAAGTGGAGCGTCAGTTATTGCGGAAAGCATGAACACTCTGACAAATGTGGTGCGAACGAAGAATCAGCAGGTTACGATGAGGCACCTCATAGGCAACGAATCGTTGTTTACTATTTCGGAGTGCATGCATCGCCTGACAGGTATTATATCGCTGGTTGGTACGCCGTTATTTCACTTCGCCTCGACACTTATGGATAATGCCGATTTGCGGGAGGTGATGATGTGCCAGCCTGATGACGACTCTATCATAGGGTGGCTTACCCAGAAGCAGCTCCAGTGTACTGCGTCGGCGCCTTTCACAAATCTGTTCGGGGCTCGCCGGATGTGATATATCGGTGTTACGAGTGTTGAAGATGTCTTTCCTTCTCTTGCATTCTAAAAACTTTTACTTATTAATTTGTTGGCACTGTATTAAAACAGGATGGTTGTGTGTGCATGTTTTTTTTTTTCCTTCGTTTTTGTTTTTTCTTGCTACCTATGGTTTCCAAAACTTATAGTTCAGTGCATGGATTGACACAATGGAAGCATGGTTGTGCACGCTTTCTGAGAAATGAATGAGATGCTTCTGTTCAAATTAAATGTATGGATATTTTCGAGAAAGGCAACAACGGATTTGCTTGCTAGCTTTGTGTATGTTTATATTTTGCAAAGTTCGCTGTTAGTTTCATATTTGACGTCAACTTTTGTGGTTGTCACCACCATGGTCCCCCTGTAAATTCAAGTTTAGCAGGTTTACAATTTTTCCATTTTTCATATCATTATGTGTGAAAAATCTACAAGTTTAGCCGTTCTTAAATTATTATCAACATTTCGAATTTTGTAATTGCACATTTTCAAATTTATTGACTCGATGAAGGGGAAGCAAACTGATTGAAACAGTGTGACTCTTGTAGGTTTCGCATCAACGAAGACGTAATGAATCCCTGGGATGGAAGCAACAATGACGGAATAACAGAAATGCTTAATCAAATGGCGGTCCAGGTGCAACAAGAACACAACTGTACATTTCTACAAGCATGCCAGTATGTGACAGAGTGGTACCAAAAACACATGACTAAAACGTCATGTCGCACTTCTATACTGACCGGGAATGCATGGATATCCGAACTATATGCGGGCCATATGAGCCGATTTGAGGAAAACGTGTCCATGCCGAAGGAAGTTTTTGTTGCCCTGTGTCAGACATTAGTAAATGATTTTGGGTTACAAGTCCCGCAACGTCCACATGGTTTAGCTGTTGAAAAAAGCGTTGCAATGTTTATCCATGTGTTGAAAGGGAAGCAAAATCGGGAAATCCAAGAACGGTTCCAACATTCGGGGGAGACTGTGTCTCGACACGTGCATAACGTATTAACTTCCACGAAGGAGTTCACTGTTGTTCATTACCGGCCCACATACAATCAGCATCATATACATCCATACGTGCGGTTTAGACGGAAATACCTACCGTTCAAGGTACTACCGAAATATATTATTCACATATACATAAAGAGTGTTAGTTATTTTGTTTTTATTATTAACTGGACGTGACGTATGGAAAAAACAAAACATCGTATACCCTAATAAGCAACAAAATAATTGGCTTGTTTGCAGGACTGCATTGGCGCAATAGACGAAACACATGCAAGTGCATGGGTTACCGGGCCAGATGCAGCAACATATTTCGGTAGGAAATACTGTCACACGCAAAATATCATGGCCGCAGTCGATTTCGACATGTGTTTCATATTCATTTCGTGCGGATGGGAAGGAAGTATACATGATAGTCGCATATTCAACGAGATACTAACAAATGACAATGTCCCATTCCCACATCCTGACGAAGGTAACACATGCCGATGGTTGTGGATTTAGTGGGCACAGATATAAATTTTTGGTGTCATACATTGTTGTCATGTCTGCAGGGAAATATTATCTTGTCGATTCTGGTTATCCAAACCGGACAGGTTACTTAGCACCATTCAAAGGGCACCGTTACCACCAACAAGAATTTCGACGTATTGCATGGAACAGGACGGCAAACACACCAAGGGAATTATTTAACCAAGTGCACTCGTCCTTACGCAGTGTGGTGGAACGCACTTTCGGTGCCTGGAAAAATCGATGGGGGTTTATTCGAGACATACCTCGATATGACTTTGCAAATATGCAAGTTCAGTTAGTAGCTGCGTCAATGGCATTACATAATTATATACGGCGCAACACAGGTAACCCAACAACTGTTCACCCAATCTGTGACGAGGAAGAGGCTATGACAATAGTAAATGACATACCAGAAGTTGAACATGACGAGGATGGTTTAATGGTTGGGGACGAGGACCCGCATATAGCATTGGTGCGCCTTCACATACGCGACAAATTATGTTACATGCGTAATAACGGAGTGTTAGGAAATATATAATAGTGGACCTAATTTTCGTAGGGTTGTAACATTACTAATGACACACGTGGAACAGACTGTATTGAAATATATTATCATATACAATATGTATGTGTTTATACGGGGATATACCCCCTTCCACTTGGTAACGTGCCTAACTTTGAAAAACCAAATTTACAAGATCGTAAAAGAAAATCCATTTTTTAAAAATTAAAAAAAAAAAGAAGTTAATGTGAGTGAATAAGAAAATGACAAAATCGTAAATTTAAAAAAAATGAAAAAAATACGTCTCATTCAAAAATATTAAAAAAAAAAACATAAAAACATAAATCACCATTCGCCACGTAATTTACAAATAAATGAAATACATAAATAACAACAAAAGTTCTTCTATACCAATAAAAATAAAGAACAAGAACTAATTCATGTAAAAAAAAAAAAAGACAAAAACATAAATTTAAAATGTTAAAATTTTTTTTTAGCAAAATACGCCAAATCCAAACCCAAAATAAAAAAAATTAAAACTTTAAAAATAATGAAAGAAAAAAACGCCAAATCCACTTCCAAAATAAAAAAAAAAAAAATTACGAAAACTACGCCAAATCCAAACCCAACAAAAAAAAAATTAAAAAAGCAAAATACGCCAAATCAAAACCCAAAATAAAAAAAAAATTAAAAAAATTAACCAAAAAACGCCACATCCAAACCCAAAATTAAAATAAGAAATAAATAAATAAATAAAGCAAAATATGGGAAATCCAAACCCAAAATAAATATAAAAAAAAACATAAGCCAAAAAGGACAGTTTGGTAATGTAATAGGATGACATCTCACCAAAAAGTCAAAAAGCCAAAAAATCTAAAAAGTCCTTCCTAAACCAAGCTTTTGAGTCCCAGGCTCAAATAGTTAAAAAAGCTAAAAAGTCAAAAAATCAACCCACTTTCCAAACGGAAGCAAACTCAGCCTCCGTTTGGGAAGTGGGTTGGCTTTTTGATTTTTTGGTTTTTTTGGTTATTTTAGCCTAGGGCTAAAAAGCCTGGTTTGAGAAGGGCCATTTTCGCTTTTTGGTGAGGTGTCTTCCTGTTAAATTACCAATATGCCCGTTTTGGTTTTTTTTTTAATTTTTTTTTATTTTGGGTTTGGATTTGGCAAATTTTGCTTAAATGTTATTTATTTATTTATTATTTTGGTTTTATGTTATTATCCTGTATATTTTAATTTATTTATTTATTTTATTTTTTTGCAAATGGTTTTTTCATGTGTTTTTTATTTTAATTTTAATTTTTTTAAAAAATAATAATAATACTAATTTTAATTTTAAATTATAATTTTAAAATAATAATAATAATAATAATAATTTTAATTTTAAAATAATAATAATGCTAATAATTTTAATTTTTAGTTTTATTTTATTGTCCTGTGTATTTTAATTTTTTTAGTTTTATTTTCAAAAATGAGTTTTCATGTGTTATATTTATTTGTAAATTACGTGGCGAATGGTAAATTTAAGTTTTTATTTTTTTTTAAAATGTTTTTGAATGAAGCGTATTTTTGTCCTTATTTTTTTTCAATTTACGTTTTTGTCATTTTTTTATTTGTACACATTAATTTTTTTTTATTTATTTGTAAATTGCGTGGCAAATGCTAATTTCTGTTTTTTTGATTTTTTTTCCCTTTTTTTTTGGAGGAGGCGTATTTTTGTCGTTCTTTTTTTTTAATTTACGTTTCTGTAATTTTTTTTATTTGTATACATTAATTTGTTTTTATATTTGACAAATGGATTTTCATGTGTTTTATTTATTTGTAAATTACGTGGCAACTGTTAATTTTAAGTTTTTTTTATTTATTTTCAGTTTTTTTTTTTAAATTACGTGGCGAGGGTTTTTGTCACGACCCAAACCCGGCCCCATAGGTTTAGCACCGTAACCGGCCAGTAATCCGAGATTACCGAAGGCCTGCAGAACAGTAATACAGTAAAACAGAGTACAGGGCCTGGCGGAAGCCAATACAGTAATTAAATAGTGTCCATTGAGCTGTGACAGTCTGTATGCAAAAAGTTGGAGCCATTCTGTAAGGAGCTTTAGAAACTGGTTGTGTTCCGGGAATCACATCAACGGTAAATTCAATCTCCCTATCAGTCAAATCTCCTGGAAGATTATCTGGGAAAACATCTGGAAATTCTCTGACTATAGGAATGCAATTCACATCAGTTTTAACACTATCATCAGTAGACACAGTCAGTACAGAACACAGATATCCTTTACACCCCTTTCTAATCAGT